GGGTCACCCTTTGTGGGGCTGTAAGTCTTCAGACTTCAGTCGGGGAAACTGTAAGACTTCAGAGAGAGGCAGGAATGAATTCTGAGTAAATGGAGAGAGACTGTTTTCCCCAGTGGAGAGTCTCAGAATTGCACACACAGCAGTCACAACTGCCCCAGGAAACCCTGCCGTGTATGTGCAAATGCAGGGGCAGCAGGTGACCTTGGAGTCATTGGAAGGAGCTCCCGAAGGAATCCCAGTAAAATGCGGGCAGCTCAACCAGCAGGGGGGGAGTCCGGGAGCGAGCCCCGGGTGGGGCTGCTGTGACGTCACACAGCAGTGAGGGGCCCAGCAGGGGGGAGTGCGAGCCCCGGGTGGGGCTGCCGTGACGTCACACAGCGGTGAGGGGCCCAGCAGGGGGAGTCCGGGAGCGAGCCCCGGGTGGGGCTGCCGTGACGTCACACAGCGGTGAGGACACAGGACCTTCAGGATGCTGCGGGACACTGGCCCCACCAAGTTCTTTTGGGCAGACGTTGGCATCAGCTGGACGGAGAGCTGGACGTGTACGGCAAGTTGGGCAGCTCTTGGAGGATGCTTGGGAGCTTGTTTATGATACTGGTGGTAGGAGCTGGGAGCGCCCGTGCACAGGGCTATTGTTTGAGCTTCGTGAGAGCTGTTTTCCACAGTTGTGCTACTCCCTTCCACGTGTTTACTGCATCTCTTGAAAATCCTCGAGTGTTGTGAAGTGCCAGACCAACATGTATATCTCGTTTCTTCCTGGGAAGTAGGTCCAGCGTTGGAAGAGGCCAGTGGGATGGAGCAAGGACAGCCAGCCTTGGCTCAGGTCCTCCATGGGCCGCCCGGGCAGGCTTCTGTGCCCATCCACTCACCTGTCTCAGCCAGACATCGGGGGTGGGAGGGGCAGCTCTGTCGGGCCCGGTGGCAGGCGTACCGGTACGAACAGCTGGGTGTTTGGAGGAGCTGTGCTGTGCCGAGTGGCCTGGGCGCTGTCTGGGCTGGAGACGGGCTGTGTGGGGCTGCAGGGCTGAGAGCCTGCTGGGGGTGCTTCTCCAGGCCCCTGGTTTGGACTTGGTCATTTCGAATAGGCCACATGTGCACAGGCCAGCATGCGCGTGGCTCACAGGCCGTGGGGAGAAGGACGGGTTTCCTCCGCCCTGAGCCATCTTCGTCTTGGGTTACCCCGAGCACCCCCACGTGCGCACACAGATCCTCTGCAGATTGAGGCCCACACCTGTGCCCCAAGTGTGCACAGCAGGTGGGCCGTGGCTCCTCTGAGGGCTGCTGAACACTGGAGTGGACGGGTCCCATTCATTCATTCAGCCTGTCTCCAGTCTTTGTAACAATCAGCACTTTCAGTGTTTCTGCATGATAGCATGGGCTTCCCTGGTAGCTCAGCTGGTAAAGAATCCGCTTGCCATGCAGGAGACCCTGGTTCAATTCCTGGGTCGGAAAGGTCCCCTGGAGGAGGGCATGGCAACCCACTCCAGTATTCTTGCCCGGAGAATCCCATGGACAGAGGAGCCTGGCGGGATACAGTTCCTGGGGTCACAGAGTTGGACACGACTGAGTGATTAAGCAGCATTGCATTGGGTAACACATGAGTGACATATGCTTGTACGTTTCTTCTTGCTGATATTAAATTTTTTTTTGACTTGTACTTTAAAAAAATGTGGACCATTTTTAAAGTGCCTTATTGAATTTGTTGCAATATTGCTTCTGTTTTTTTAGCCACAATGCATATGGGATCTTAGCTTCCTGATCAAGGATTGAACCCACAACCTCCTGCATTGGAAGGTGAAATCTTAACCACTGGGCTATCAGGGAAGTCCCTGCCTGTACATTTTAAGATAACATATTAATATATGGAGGCTGTATTTCTAAAAAGAGATTGGTGGTGAATTTTTGTAGGTGTGTCCAGAATTCCAGCCAAGGAGGAACACCTCTTTCCCTGTGTCCTTGACATTAGTCAGATACTGATTTGCACTTATCTGATGAATGAAAAATAACTGATCAATTTAGTTTTATTTTGTGTTTTTTTGAGTGAAATGCAAATGTTTTTAATAGCTAAGGGCCGTGGCTCCTCTGAGGGCTGCTGAACACTGGAGTGGACGGGTCCCATTCATTCATTCAGCCTGTCTCCAGTCTTTGTAACAATCAGCACTTTCAGTGTTTCTGCATGATAGCATGGGCTTCCCTGGTAGCTCAGCTGGTAAAGAATCCGCTTGCCATGCAGGAGACCCTGGTTCAATTCCTGGGTCGGAAAGGTCCCCTGGAGGAGGGCATGGCAACCCACTCCAGTATTCTTGCCCGGAGAATCCCATGGACAGAGGAGCCTGGCGGGATACAGTTCCTGGGGTCACAGAGTTGGACACGACTGAGTGATTAAGCAGCATTGCATTGGGTAACACATGAGTGACATATGCTTGTACGTTTCTTCTTGCTGATATTAAATTTTTTTTTGACTTGTACTTTAAAAAAATGTGGACCATTTTTAAAGTGCCTTATTGAATTTGTTGCAATATTGCTTCTGTTTTTTTAGCCACAATGCATATGGGATCTTAGCTTCCTGATCAAGGATTGAACCCACAACCTCCTGCATTGGAAGGTGAAATCTTAACCACTGGGCTATCAGGGAAGTCCCTGCCTGTACATTTTAAGATAACATATTAATATATGGAGGCTGTATTTCTAAAAAGAGATTGGTGGTGAATTTTTGTAGGTGTGTCCAGAATTCCAGCCAAGGAGGAACACCTCTTTCCCTGTGTCCTTGACATTAGTCAGATACTGATTTGCACTTATCTGATGAATGAAAAATAACTGATCAATTTAGTTTTATTTTGTGTTTTTTTGAGTGAAATGCAAATGTTTTTAATAGCTAGCTGTATTTCCTTCTCTTGAACTGTACGTTCATATCCTGTGTTCAGCTAATCCCTTAGTTATTGATCTAGAGGAAAAGATACACCTGTGTGTGCACATGCACATACCCACACACAAGCAAAGAAATTTGGCCCTTGGCCTGGGATCTGAATGCAGCATTTTCCCTGGTCTTTGTCTGTTGGTCTTTGGGCTCTATACTACTTTTTTCTTTGCAGAGATTCTTGTATATTTCGTCAAATGTATTAAATTTTCAAGGCATTTTGGATTCTGAGTTGCTCTGATAAAGGCCTTCCTGATTCTAAGAATGTTTTGTGAACCTCTCATTTTTCCTCCAGCACTTCTGTGGGTCCTCTTTGTGGTGGGGTTTCTGTCCTTCGAGACTTGTTGCTTGTCCCTGGCACCTTCTCGGCTAAGCCCAGCTCACCTGATGGCCGCCCTCCTCCCTGCACCCCACACATGGTCCCCGCACCCCTAGTCCAGCACCTGCATGAGGCCTTGTCCGCCGTTGCTGTGTTCCAGGCTGTAAGCTCACAGGCTGGCCACACCGTGTCCACCCTGATTGTTAGGGGCCCTGGAGCCCTCCTTGAAGAGGTAGGGTGCCAGGGGATGGAGCAGTGTCGCCCCATTGGGTCCTAGCCTCATGCCCACCATGGGAACTGGGTGGTGGCTCAGAGGAAGGCCTGGCCCTTGGGCCTCCGGCCTCAGCCATGTGGCTGCGTGGCTGCCAGACGGACATTCCTGGACCTGGACATCCTTCTGCCCAGAACAGATGTAGACACCACCTGGCCTCAGGAAAGGGTCCGCTTGCCTGTGGCTGTGTTTATGGAGCCGCCTCTGACCCCCTGATGGACATGCTGACGTTAGATGGGAGTGAAGCTACCTGTAGCTCTGCAGGCTGGCCCTGGGTGTGGGGGACCCCTGAATCAGCTCCCCATGTGCAGTGTGGACACAGGCTAGCACCAAGTGGGTGGGAGGCCCTGACTTCCCTCCCCCTGCACAGAATTTGGACACAGGTGCTCCCACTGCCTCCTGGAGAACTGGAAGGCAGCATCACCTGCTATTTGTCTCCCTCTCCTCGTCCACACCCACAGCTACCCTTCCCAACTCTGCCCTACATTCCCCCAGGATGGCTCTGGCAGTTGGGGTCCTCCTGGATGCCGAATGTTTTGGCAGTGGTGGGAGCTCGGTTAATCTAGGAGAATCCAGCCTGGGGGATGTGCTGGTGGGACGCTACAGTGCTTTAGCTGTGTGGCACGCAGTTCTGGGCACAGCTGTTAGCATTCCTGTCTGGGGACAAGTCTCCACCGTGTGGGCTGTCTTTGTGTGAGGAGTGGGGCTCTCCCAGCCTCCGGCCCCGGGTGCTCGGGCCACTGCCTGCTCCCTGCCCTGGCGTGGCAGCTGTCCTCAGGCAGGGGCCTGGAAGTACACAGAGCCGTCCTCTGATGTCAGCTTCTGCCCCACCCCCATCTTTTTAGGCATGACGTCCCAACACTCGGTGAGGGGTGCAGGTAACCAGGGCCTGGGGCTGGCATGGGCCGCTATCCCACCGATGCATTGTCCCAGCTCCAGGCTCCTGTGTCTTCTCCCTGAAGGCCTCGCTGCTTCTGATTCTCACTGCTGTTAAGTGTCCGCATCTCAGGGACCTTTGGAGCTTCTCTCCTAGCCAGCACGCACGCTGGCCTCCCAGTGCATACCCAGGAGCCTCCTGGTTCCGAGTGTTGCTCACGGAGAGAGGAACAGGCTCTGCAGCACGGACTCGAGCTGGCAGCACTGCTTGCTGCTCACCCACACCCTCAGTCGCAGGGTCGGGAGCAGGTGCCACCTCTGCTCACTGGCGCAGTAGTTCTCAGCATTGTGGGGAGCAGTGCCAAGGCGGGGGGCGGGTCTTCTCAGGGTGCCCACCATGGCCTTGCTCGTGTTGCACCTAGGTGTGCAGAGGCGGGGCATAGCGGTCCTTCCTGCCGCACACCCCTAGACCTGGCCAGTCTGCTCGGGCGTCCTGGCGGCTGCCTTGTCCAGCTGCTGCCTGGGCCTCAGCACCCTGCTTTCCTGTTCTCAGGGAGCTGATCAGTGAGGCTGAGACGGGCAACTCCTTTAGGGCCTGGGGTCTGGGGGTCTCAGAGTAGGGCCGGTTCTGCTTTGCACAAGACCCCACCCTTACCCTAAGGGTACATGCAGCGATGCCCCTCTCCATGAGGCAGGGCAGGGCCTGCAGAGGCGTGTGTGTGCAGCTACAAAATGTGGTGCCCCAGGCTGTCCCCAGAGGAGCCTCAGCCTGCTGCGTGAGTGCTGGCATCTGCTCGAGGGTGGGGTCTCAGAGGCCCCGCCTACCTCCCTGCCCCTGCAGCTGGAGACCCCGCCCACACCCTGTCCCCTGCAGAAAGTTGCAGCTCTCTTTGTCAGCCCAGGGCCAGCGTTCCCCTGAGGGAGTTTTGGAAGGACAGCAGCAGTGGGGATGGGGCCAGGTGTGGGGCTCCAGCATCTGTGGACTCCTGCCAGCCCTGTTGCCTGGGTTTGGCTGGCGTGAGAGATGGGGGGTGGACTTGTTTCTAATGATGCTCTAGTAGGGGGCGCTGAGCCCCGTTCGCATCCAGGTGGGCACTTTTCCCTTCCAAGGGCTGAAGGTCTGGGTGGGGCTGGCTTGGACGTATCTGGATCTCAGATGTGCAGTTGTCTGTCTGGGGACACTGAGACCCGTGCTTCTGCGCAGAGCAGGCAGAAGGCCAGGGCCGGTCAGTCCCTGGATAGAGCTGGTGGTAAGGAGTTAGGGCAGGAAGGCCAGATGGCAGAGACCAGCTCTGGCCTTGGCTCAGCCAGGAGGGGGGATGGAGGTGCCCCAAGCCAGCAGCTCCCTCCTGAGCGCCGCTCGGGTCCTAGGCTGGGAGCCCTTACTGGTGCATGTGTTCCAGGAGACCCAGCTGGAACCATGGGGAACAAAGGAGGACAGAGAGGGAGCAGGGCCTCCCCCAAGGGTCTGCAGGGCCGTCACCCCTAGCTGGAGATGGCAGAGGCTGGAGGTCTGGAGCAAGCTGCGTAAGCAGACACGGGAGTGGGTGGCGGAGGGTGTGGTAGGTGTCTATCTCACGCGGCCTGTGACTCCCGCCCCCTCCCTGCCTTGGTCGTCTGTGCCTCTGGTCAGTGCCCCGGGCTGGGCAGCCCTCGCAGGTGTGTGTGTTTGAGTTTCTAGCTCTCTGTTCCTTCCGCTGTCATCAGACCTGGGCAGGAGGCGGGTGCCAGCTGGGGTGTCACTTTCTGACTAGTGTTGCTGGGGAGCGCTCAGCAGCCACGCGGGTGCCTGGGGTCTGCTCCCGGGGCAGCCCGAGTGAGAACCCAGCGCACACAGGGGGCTGGGCTGGGGTCCCTACGCCGTTGGCAGGGGCGTCTCTGCGGGCCCTGCTGGGTCTCTGCGGCCTGCCTAGCCCTGTCCCCGGGCTCGCTGCCCTTCCTGCCCTCCAGGGCGGCCCGCCGGGGCTCCCGTCCCGCTGCCACCCTGCTTTCCAGAAGCCAGGGTCTGCTGCCGCCACAGCGTCTGCAGCAGCTCACCCAGCGCCGACGTCCCACCTCTGGAGCAGGGCTCATTTTGGCCTCTGTGTGCCCAGGCTGACGGGCAGTGAACCCCTGACCATCCTCCCGCTGACCCTGGAGCCGGAAGCAGTTGCCCAGGCCCACTACAAGGCCTGTGACCGGCTGAAGCTGGAGCGCAAGCAGCGGCGCATGTGCCGCCGGGACCCGGGTGTGGCCGAGACGCTGGTGGAGGCGGTCAGCATGAGTGCCCTCGAGTGCCAGTACCAGTTCCGCTTTGAACGCTGGAACTGCACCTTGGAGGGCCGCTACCGGGCCAGCCTCCTCAAGCGAGGTGAGTGTGCCAGGCCCCTGGATGGGCGCCGGGGAGCGGGGCTCCAGCCGGGGGCGCCCCCGTGCGGCTCCTCAGCGGAGTTCGGGTGGCTGGGCGGTGGGTGGGATTTGAACCCGCAGCTCCCCGCCCCCCGCCTCCTGCCCTCTCCCCAACGCCTGGCCCCGCTCACACCTGCGTGGAACAGTTGCTGGTGGCACAGGCGCATGTGGACAGCTGTGACAGGGCCCGAGGCAGCTCTGACGGCTCTTGCCACATGGCCGGGACTGAGGCCGAGTGCCTGGACGCAGGGGCAGGGGTCCAGCTGGCGCCCTAGTTCTTAGCGTGGAGTTCCTCTTTCGCGTCTCCTTCCGTATGAGGGTGCCAAGGGGGACTCTCATCTGAATCTCTCAACAGCTTTGTTTGAAACCTAGGGACCTGGGGCACAGGGCATGGCAAGGCTTATGGAGGCCCCTGGCCAGTCCAGTAGGTTCGAGACCCAGAGGGATGGGGTCTCTGAGTGCTGGGCACCGCTGTGGCTGCAGTACATCCGCGTTCTCTGCCCCTGAGCGGTCCTGTGTCTGGGGCATGAGAGGGTACCTCCGAACCCCAGGAGCGCATGTCTGCCCAGGTTCCCTGTGGCCCGCACCCTGGAGGATCCTTCCCGCAAACCCTGCTCTATGTGGAATGTGCGCGCGGGGAGACTGTGCTTTGGCTGCATCCGAGTGAGATGGGGCCGCTCCGGCCCACTGACCTGCCCCTGCCCTCACCCCCAGGCTTCAAGGAGACAGCCTTCCTTTACGCCATCTCCTCCGCTGGCCTGACGCACGCGCTGGCCAAGGCTTGCAGTGCAGGCCGCATGGAACGCTGCACTTGCGATGAGGCGCCTGACTTGGAGAACCGCGAGGCCTGGCAGTGGGGCGGCTGCGGAGACAACCTCAAGTACAGCAGCAAGTTCGTCAAGGAGTTCCTGGGCCGGCGGTCTAGCAAGGATCTGCGAGCCCGCGTGGACTTCCACAACAACCTCGTGGGTGTGAAGGCAAGCCGGGCGGGGCGCGGGGCGGGAAAGGGTGTAGGGTCCAGGGCCCGGGGCAGGGCAGGGCATGGTGTGGGTGCAGTTAGCATGCGCTGGGGCTCAGCGTGGGAAAGTGCAGGTGGTGGGCAGAGTGCACATGTGTTTGAGGGGTGGGGGGCAGGGGCTGAGGGGCGGGGCACCAGTCTGGGAGAGGGCTGGGGGTCCGAGAGGAGGTGAAGGTGGCTGCCATGGTATGTCTGTTCCAGCCTCTGGGGACAGCTGGGGCCTCCAGCCCTTCTGCTTACAAGGCTCATTACTTACCCGATGGGCAGGGTGCTAGTTGTCGTGGGGAGCTCTGTGGATGGGGTGCCTCAAGGTCTTGCAGGGTTGGGCAGAGCCAGAAGTCCTGCTTGCTGCTGGCTGGGGGGCAGGGAGGGGCGTCCTGGGTGGTCAAGGCCACGAGGAGGGTCTCGTCTCCTGGGCACCATCTAACCAGGTGGAGACTGGACTAGACCTTACCTGTTGGGGCTGAGGGGTGGGTGGTCCTGTCACCAGGGACCTAGGGGAATGGTAGATGGCTCAGTGTGTAGTTCAGGCGTTTTGGGGAAATGCTAGGGGTGTGGCTGGCCCAAGCTGGGGAGGCTGCTTCTGCCTCAGGGGCCCTGTCTGTGGCCAGGACTCTGTTCTGAGGAAACTCAAGACAGAAGACTCAAACTAGAAAGGAGTGTTGCAGCTCTCTTGCTGTGGGCAGCCACTCTCTACCCCAACCCGCCCCCCGGCAGCCCCTCAGCCCCACACCCTGGAGGAGGCTTCGGGCCCCACCACCTTCACTGTGCACAGAGCCCCCCACCCTCTCAGCCCCTGCACCGCCTGGACAATCGGATGCCTCCCAAGGCTCAGCCTGGGCTGTGGGGCCGTCAGGGGCGGGAGTGGGATCTGCGTGCTTGTGGGGCAGCCCTTGGGATTTGGAGTCCCAGCCTGGGGGCTGGAGGGGGTGATGAGGTAATTAATACCAGCCCCTTTCTGAGCCCCTCTTTATTGAGAAGCCAGGGTTCTGAGGTATGGGCTTATTAAAGAATCAATTTCCCCCTTTGCCACAGGAGCTCTGCCTGTCCTTCCACCCTCTGGGGAGGGGTGCAGGCTGATTAAATCCCCCAGGGGAGGCCCTTTCTTTTCCTCTGCACTCGCCCTTTTGTGAGCTATTAATGAAAAGTCAGAATATGAAAGTGCTCCATTAGCTCCACTGGTCCTGGGTAAGCCACATTTTAATTAAATTTGTCCGGGTTTCTCAGCAAAGTATCATTAAATGTGACTCTTCTGTTGCCTGGCTGGAGGGCAGCTATGTTTCTTAATCCCCCTTGAGTTGGCTCTCCCTGGGGGCTGTGTGGGAGCTCAGGCCTGGCTTGGGGCCCGCTGGGAGAGGAACCTCCCCCTTCCTTGCCGTTCCTTGTCCCCACGTCCCTCCTGGGACCCCAGTGTGGGAAGTCAGGCAGGAGGCCCTGTGGGACAGCTGGCCTGACTCCATGGCTTTGCACGTGGGTCCCAAGTCCTGCGAGGAGAAGGGCCAGCCTGAGTCTTGGGCAGCCCCCCAGATGCAGAGCAGGAGGCTGGTGCTGGGCCGCGCCTGCCCCCGCCGTGTGCGGGGGTGGATGCAGCCCTGTCCTCTCTGCTCCTCGCTGGAGGCTTTCTCCCTCTGTCCAAGCTCCGCTTAGCAGGGTGGCAGCTGGTGCCTGTACATGCAGTTGCATCTGGTCCCTATGCCCAGGCAGAGACATAGTCAACTCAGAAGGTACACTCTGGTGGCCAGTTCTGTCCACTAGGCATACTGACGTGCTTGTCCTTAAATTTTCAAGGAACAGACTGCTGAGGACAGGCTGTGTGGTCCTGGGGTCGCTGACAGTAGGGCTCACAGGGAGGGGTGCCCTGCCCTGGTGGGGGACATCCTGGGATATGGGGATGGGAAGGGGGCACCTCGGCGGTGCAGGTGCTGTGGCGGACCCTCTGGGGTTGTGCTGGCGGTGGGGTTTCTGTCCTGGGTGACCCATGGCTTGGAGAGGAAGGGCTGCTTGTGGGAGCCAGGAAGCCTGGGTGATAAACAGTGGTGGCCCGCTTGGCCGTGAGGCCTGGCAGCACCAGCCCCTCTGCGAGCTGCCTCGGGGGCTGGTCTCGTCTGCTCAGGGGGGCCCTCACGCCCACCTCCCCCACTCTCGCCAGGTGATCAAGGCCGGGGTGGAGACGACGTGCAAATGCCATGGCGTGTCCGGCTCGTGCACCGTGCGGACGTGCTGGCGGCAGCTGGCGCCCTTCCACGAGGTGGGCAAGCGCCTGAAGCACAAGTACGAGACGGCCCTCAAGGTGGGCAGCACCACCAACGAGGCCACCGGCGAGGCCGGCGCCATCTCGGCCCCGCGGGGCCGGGGCGCCGGGCCGGGTGGCGGCGACCCGCTGCCCCGCACACCGGAGCTGGTGCACCTGGACGACTCCCCCAGCTTCTGCGTGGCCGGCCGCTTCTCCCCCGGCACCGCCGGCCGCAGGTGCCACCGCGAGAAGAACTGCGAGAGCATCTGCTGCGGGCGTGGCCACAACACGCAGAGCCGGGTGGTGACCCGGCCCTGTCAGTGCCAGGTGCGCTGGTGCTGCTACGTGGAGTGCAGGCAGTGCACCCAGCGGGAGGAGGTCTACACCTGCAAGGGCTGAGCCCCGGGCCTGGCCAGGCTGCTGCAGGGGCTGCGTCCCCGGCCTGGGCGCCCCCAGCACGCTTGGCTGCAGGGCGTGGGCAGAGGCCTGGGGGCTGGCTGAGAGGGCCGTCTCCAGCCCTTTAGCTCCGCCTCTCAGAGGCCTAGTCTGACCCCTGCGTCCTCCCTGCTTGTCCCGCCCCGTGACCTGAGAGCTTTGCACGGATGCTTTCCAAGTTGTGTCCCCCCAAGTCACCAGCTGCCTGTTGTGCGCTGGGTGCCCTCTGAGGAGCGGCGGGCACACCTCGTGACCACACGACCTCTGTGTGGGCTGACCTGCAGCAGCACTGGCTTAGAGTCAAACCACTAGGAGAGAGAGCAGGCGCCTGGCCGCCCGACTGTGGGGGGTATTCCGCTGGCCCCTCTGACATCACGTACTTCTCTTTGGAGTAGTATCAGTGACTTTTAAGTTATTTTTATTTAACTAATATATAATATTATTTTCTCCGTCCCTGCAGCCTCCCAGGCTGTGGCTCCTCCCCTTCTCAGCAGAGCCTGGTCTGGAGGAGCCCCTTCCTCCCTCCCCTCCGAACCCCCTCCTGACCTGTTTGCCTGATCTGCTTTGTCGTTTGAAACCACTAAATCAAGAGAGACATTGCTGTTGTTGTTTTTAAAGAAGTAAAGCAAGCTGTGTCTGGCCACCACCCTCAGGGTTTCTGGAAGCCAGGTCCAATGGTCCAGGTTGGCTACCCGTAGCAAGGCTGACCAGGGAGGTGGATGGGCCCTCCTCTGCACCCCGAGGGCACGTGGATCCACACTCGAGACTCCTCAATGCAGATTCTGGGACTGGGGGTGGCAGAAGGCGGCCTGTTCTTCCCCCAGAGGTGGGCATGGGCAGAGGGTCAGGGCCAGCCTCTTGGAGGTTCATTTCATGAGGAGGGCACAGCTTGTCCTCTGTCACTGTAGGGGAGGCAGGGTGGGGGCAGACATGGATGGAGAGAGTTTGGAGATAGGATTTGGCAAATGGAAAGTGTTCTTGGTCATGCTGTCGATTTTGCAAAGAAGGGAAAAGTATGGCCATCACTGACCTGATGTGGTTGAGGGTGTGTGCACACGTGTGTGCATGCATGAGTGTGTGGTGTGTGTGCATGAGCATGTTTGTGTGAATGCATGAATGTCCATCTGTGAGTATGTGCTGTGTATAAGTGCAGATGCATGCTTGTGTGTGCACACACACATGTTTCCACATGTGTAGTGTGTATTCGTGCATGAGAGTGCATGTCTGCATGGGTGTGCATTACGTACGTGGGTGCATGTGTGTGTGTGACCATGTGCGTGTGTTTGTGCATGTGTGGTCTATGTGCCTGTGTGTGCCTGTGTGTGGGTGTGGTCAGTGGTTGGCTCGGGCACTGTTCCTAGGTGTGGAGCTCTCCTGCCCATGTTGGTAGGGCCTCTAGCCCTGGCCCCGTCCTGCTCAGCTCTATGACTCTGCCCAGAGGGTGTGCACTGGGGTTTGGGCAGGCACGGAGCTGGGGCAGGCAGTGTGGACGCGGGAACTACTGAGTGAAGGGATTCCTCGGAGTCCAGGGGGGGCTTCAGGAACCCTGGAGACTGTGTTTGTAAAAGAAAACCTATTTATGTGGATGTGGGTCTCTTTGTCCCTGTTCTATAGTGTAAATAGTTGAGTCTTTTCTCCTGTGGTTCAGAGAACGTCCCCGTGAAGAACTGCGTGCTGACAGTGGTGCAGCCAAGGCATGTCCCCTGGGAGGGAGCTGGGGTGGGCTCTGTGGCCGTGGGGGACGTGGGCCTGCAGCCTGGTCTCCTCCACACTTGGCTGGAGGGCGGGGAGAGGCGGGGGCGCGTCCCAGTTGTCCCCAAGTATTCCCACCTGCTGGGGCCTGGAGCAGGCAGAGCTGGCCATGTTTCTATGACAAGACTGTAGCTCGGTCACTACTGGGTTGGAAGGGCAGCAAGTCAGAGGAAGGATTTTTTCTAAGTCAAATACCACATTTAGCTCTATGTCATAAATATTAAGAAAAGTATTTTTTTAAACAAAGCAGATTGAAAACGTCTGCTGGCTGGTTTGTTTATACATAAATATATATCAGAATGTCTTGCTACGCGAAGGAGCACTCCCGCAGACGGAGCCTCTTATTAACACGCTTCTTGTCTGTGCAGCAAAGGATCTCTCAAAGAACACACGTCTGTGGTGGGGTCCAGACCCCCAGCCCCGGGGCTGCAGGGGCAGAGCCATGCTGAGGGGCCAGGCAGGTCCCGGCCACCTGCTCTCTGCTCAGCGTGCTCGATCAGGCCAGGTGGAGGCGGGCGGGAGGAGAGGGGCATTCACACACGAGAGGAGTCTTGTGTGAGCCTACCGATTTCTCTACCTCATCTGTATAGTGAGTAGGTGTGTACTCGAGTGACTTGGAGAATGTATTTATTTAATGGCCTTGTGTAACAGAACAGAAACAAATGGAAACACTAAATAAATGTATTTTTAAATTATAGCCTCCTCTCCGCGGCTGCCTTCAGAGGGGTCCCAGGGGCCCTGGGGAGATGGGCCTGGAGGAGGAGCAGGGCCCAGAGAGGTGAGAGGGTTTGTGGAGTAAAGGGGTCTCTCGCAGACCGAGTCCAGCCCAGCCCTGCCCGAAGGTGGGAGGGCGCGGTAGCTCCCGGTTAGCATCCGGAAAGGCAGCAGCTCTCATGTGCAGAGGCCATATCCCAGGTCCCCAGTCACCGAGTGGCCCTGCGGACCCGCTCAATGGCTGGTCCTGGAGGACAAGGTGCCCAGCTCCATCTGGCTTGGCCTCTGTCCCAGCACTCCCTCACGCAGTGAGCCCCAGGCCCCTGCTTCTAACAAAGTGCCACACAGAGACGGACTCTCCCACGCTTTGCCCTGGAAAAGGAGTGTAGGGACCGCTGGGTTGCTTTGCTCCCTGTGTTAGGGGAGCAGGCATAACAGATGACCACAAGTAAGCTGAGAGACATGGCTTACAGTGACAGGGATCTGTTCTGTCCAAGCTCTGGAGGCCAGAAGTCTGAGATCAAGATGTGGGCAGGCCCAGCTCCCTCGGGAGGCTCCAGACGGTGATCCTTCCTGCCTCTTCCAGCTGCTGGCGCTCCCGGCATTCCTGGGCTTGTGGCCACATCATTCCTGTCTACGCCTCCATCTTCATGTGGCCATCTTCATGTCTTCTTTGTCTTCTCCCCTTCTGCCTCTTATGAGGATACCTGTCATGGGACATAGGGCATGTCTAGACAGTCCAGGATGTTCTGATCTTGAAATCACAGGGGCTTTCCACCTGGTGCTCATGGTAAAGAACTTGCCTGCCAGTTCAGGAGGGAGACTCAGGTTCAATCCCTGTGTCTGGAAGATCCCCTGGAAGAGGGCATGGCAACCCGCTCCAGTATTCTTGCCTGGAGAATCCCCATGGACAGAGGAGCCTGGCGGGCTACAGTCCATGGGATCGCAAAGAGTCGGATATGACAAGCGACTTAGCACACACACACACATAGGTAACTAAGTATATCTGCAAAGACCCTTGCCCAAATAAAACCATATCCTGAAGTTCGTAGGAGGAAAAGGAGTGTGTTTTGTTGGAATGGAGCAAGGGTGGGGCCAGACGCTGTGGTGGGCAGGACAGAGCACGCCTCCTCCTCTTGCCTCATCAGGAAAGGCATCCTCTTTCTGGGTAGTTCTTCCCCCATCACCTCAAGGCCTGTGTCCTTCTGGGGCAGCGGGCCAAGGCCGTGAGGCTGCTGGCAGCGTGGCTCGCCTGGCTATGCACGCATTAGGCTCCTGCCTTGGCTGCCGTCTCTCTACCCCAGGTGTGACCCCCTCCATTGTGTGGGGCCCTTGGCAAGCTGGAGGGCGCCTCTGCTTCCTCTTAGGGAACCTGCCAGACACCCAGGTTTCCCTCCCCCACCCTAAGCCTGCAGCCTCTTCCAGAAGCAGTTCCCTTGTGCTTCAGCCCAGCGCTGAGTAGCAGCACTGACATAACCTGTCCATCTGTCTGTCCACCTGCTCTGAGTGTGGGGTCCTCTGGGTCCAACACAACGCCCTCCCCCTGCATTTGTCTCCAGTCCCTACCCTCCTACCCTCCCCGCTGGCCTCTGTCTCCCCACCCCTGAGGTGTGCCTGCTGGACCCCTGGTGGCCCCTCTCCTGGGAGGTCACCTTCCTGCCGTCCCGGGTCTTGTCCAGGTGTCTCTGGACACCCAGGAGAGGGGCTGCCCCCTGAGGAATTGGAACCGCCCGCCTGACACCATGATCAGGAAGGAGGGCACAGCACCCCCTCTCTGGCCTCCTGAGCACTGCCCTAGAGACTGAATGGTTCCTCCTGGTGCCAAACCCTCTGCCAGGCTGCAGGTGACCTGACCTAAGAGGCCCCCCGGCCGGGCACCAGGATCCACAGGTGAGAGACAGGGGTGGGTGGTAACAGGGCAGAGGGGGGCTCAAGGACACCCCGCTACGTGTGGGATCCATGGGGGTAGGGGACCCACAGGACACGGGTCCCACGTCCTTGTTGCACTTTGTGAACACAGAACCTCCTCCTCCGGCACTGCAATGAAGTGGCAGGCCAGGGACTCAGGCCCCTGTGCCCTGGGTGGGAGAGGGTTGCAAGCTGCCTGGGGTAGAGAGCAGGCAGCCTGAATGGGGCCATTCTTCCATGGTAAAGGGTGGCTGAAACTGTAGCTGAAACCAACCCAGGTACATACTGCAGGCTGCAAGCGAGTGGGGGCTCCAGAGGGGAGACGGGCCAGTCAGGATAGCATAGGCTGTCCCTCTGCACAGCCTCCTGCCACGGCCAATCTCCTCCTGCAGCCCCCTGCAGAGTATCCTTGTCTGGACACCCAGGTCTCCCCTTCAGCCTAGGTTCTTGGGATACGCTGGGATAAGCTCTGTGGCGAATCTTGCATGTGCCTGTGTGTGTGCGCATGTGCAAACGTGGCACATGGGGGCGCTGGGTCCACGTGCCTGTGTGTCTGCCTGCACATGTGTGCATGCCCGTGCAAATGTGTACATGCTTGTGCATGCATGTGCATGCATGTG